ACGCACCTAGATCATTACTACCGGCGGAGAGAAACTATTCACAGATCGAAAATGAGGCATTGGGCATAATTTTTGCAGTAACTCGTTTTCACAGATATATTTATGGGAGAGAGTTCACGCTCCAAACGGACCACAAACCACTTCTTACGATTTTCGGTTCAAAAAAAGGTCTACCAGTCTATACAGCGAACAGACTTTTAAGATGGGGAACTGTATTACTAAACTACAATTTTAAACTGGAGTTCTTACCATCAAAGAAAATAGGACACGCTGATGGACTATCGCGATTAATACCCGCGAAAGGCGAACCGTTAGAAGATTCGGTAATTGCGGCATTACAAGCTGAAGATGAAATCAGTAAGTTACTATGCAATACAATAAAGAAACTACCTGTAACGCTGCTAGAGATAAGACGAGAAGCAGAAAGAGACGAGTTTATTCAGGATACCAAGAAAAAAATAGAAGAGAAAGTGAGGAATTTAGCAGACAGTTTCTCAATCTGTGACAACATATTATTGTATAACGAGAGAGTAGTAATACCGAAGTCACTACGAAGAAGGATCTTAAAAGATTTTCACTTAGGACATCCCGGAAAAAACCGGATGAAATCACTTATGAGAAGTTTTGTCCACTGGCCGAATATGGACGATGATATCACGCAAATGGTGGAAAGTTGCAAAGGTTGTGCTGCTGCGGCGAAGGCACACAAAGGTCATGGCCTAAAGACGATAGACTGTGGTCCAGAATACACGCGAATTACGTAGGACCCATTGAAGGTTACTATTATTTAATAACAGTAGATACTTTCAGTGACTGGCCAGAGGTTGCCAGATTTAAACACCCTACGACAGAAAACACCATAAACTGTTTACACGAACTATTCGCGAGATTTGGCGTCGCGGATTGTTTGGTAAGCGATAACAGCACACAGTTTACCTCCAGTGACTTCAAAGAATTTTGTGAGACATATCAAGTAAAACATATCAAGATAGCTCGGCACCACCCGAGGTCGAACGGACAAGCCGAAAGTTTCGTTGACACACTAAAAAGAGCGTTAAAAAAGCCGATACAACAGTTCCTCCAAGTGTACAGAATAACACCTAACGTGAACACACCATTGGGTCTTTCTCCAGCGGAATTGATGTTTGCTTGGAGAATAAGGTCTGTGTTTGACAAATTATTGCCAAACAAGAACAAAAACCAGTATACACCGATTGTACCAAAGATCATTTAAGCCTGGAGAACGGGTTTATTTTAGGGTGTTGAGAAACAATATGGCTTACTGGGAGCCGGGCACAATAATCAACAGATTAGGAAATCTAATGTACACAGTACAAGGAGAGAAGTTTTCACATAGAAGACATATCGATCATTTGCAAAAAAGACGGGTTGAGGAGCCAAGCTCGTCAACCGCAGAAAACGACGATTCTATGGATACAATCTTCGAAGCGTTTGAGATCCAAAGACCGCAGGAAGACACAGAAATGAGAAGGTTAAACAGGAAGAGAAAATTTGTCGAACCCCTGATTATCAACCATAAGAGAGAAAAATACTAACTCCCCTCAAAAAAAGATCTAAGGAGGGGGGTGTTATGGGGTCCACCCCTTTTTCACACAAGTGGACTCGACCAGTGTGTACTGATACTGCTGCCGTTAAATACCCAGAGTCAGTCAGAGTAGTGAGTAGAGAGCAGTGATTGTGATTGAGTTGGAGTTGGAGATAGAGTAATAGTGTGAGGTAACCGCGTGTAGAAGTCACGTAGACTCTAAGGAAGTCCTACGTCGAGACTGGATTTACCAGACTGTATATATATATATATTATTATTATTGCTACTTTCTGGATTTACTAACTGTTTTACCAATTGTATTATTGTGTAAATACATTTATTTGTTATTGTTGAAACTTGACTAATGCATGGAATAATAATACAACACAAAATGTACTTAGATTATTATTGCTACTAACTGCGTTTCTGGATTTACTAACCGTATTACCAATTGTATTATTGTGTAAATACTTTTATTTGTTATATTTCATTCCTGCGTTTGTCATTCATTGGAGACCGAATTTCATCTCGGAATCCACAACGTAATGATTCCTCAGTTGCTAGTAGAGGATACTAATGGTAACATAGATAATCAAAAGTTTGATAAGGAGTTACAACGTACCTTACACTTCTTACATTCAACATACAAAGATTATAGTTCTGTAAATAAATCACGTCAATACGTTCCTGACACGCTTAAGACATGTAAATGTGTATGGTTAAGAGTAGACAGAGTTGGCAGGCGTCTGGTAGGGTTACGAAGAACTGACAAATATTTTGTAATTAAAATGAACAATGCGATACAGTCAACGGTATCAATAGATAGATTAAAACCACACGTTGAAGCTAAAAATGATAAGCAAGTAATAACGGAAAAATAAGCCCATAGTGATGATATAATAATGGATACAGAAAACATAGATTTAAATATTAAGCCTAGGTGGCGGGGGTGGGGGTTGTAGCGAGAGACAAAAAGTTATCTCCCCTAGACCCAAAACAAAAAATAGCAATAAGAATTAATTATAAATATTCACGAAAATAAGAAAAACAGTCACGTGATCTGGCGAGACCTGCACGAGACATCATTAGGTGGGAAAGTCAATCTTCCTTTTTTGCTCCTGGAAGTTATAGTAACAAGACACACAATTTCAGACTTGTTACAACCAAACAGATAAGTACAAAATTTATATTGTGTTTAGTAACCCGTCTTTTGCAAGTAGATATATGCAAACCTTGTATTAAGAATTTCGAATAGAAAAAATATATATACACATGTTTTATACGAAGACTTTTGTGTTTTGTTTGAACTTTTAGTATATTTATGTTGTCGTATATTTCATACTCTTTAAACGTGGTCCTGTGGCATATTCACGAACAACAGGTTTATCTTTGCTTGTATTATATACTTTTTTAAGAGATTTAAAGCATTTTTCAACCGGGATATTAGTGTAAAGTGATTTTATATCTAGATTGGCTAGGAGTCTGTCAGTCATTTGTTTCCTTTAGTTTATCAACAAGGTTGCCATTTTATTTTTATATGTGATGGACTTATTGTTCCAAGGAGAGAGGTTAAAATTTTTGCTATGACTCTAGCAATTTTGTGGGGGAACGCTGCCTATACTTGAAATGATAGGGCGCATAGGGATACCAGTTTTGTGGGTTTTAGGGAGATCGTAAAGTTTGGGTGTTCTAGGATGATATTCTATGAGTCGATTTGTTTTCATTTTTAATTAGTTTCCTGATTTCCTTGTTGAATTTTTGTGTTTCAGTAGTTATTTTTGTTCGTTTATTTTTTCGTATCTGTCGGTATCGTTGAGTAGTGAGTTAACTTTTTCTATATATGTATTTTTGTTTATGATCACAATCATTCAAGGCATAATCACTGCTACTTAATAAACCAAAAATGAAAATGCATTACCACTGAGACAACTAAATGCACTAAAGAACCTAGTGAGAAATAATGAAATCTACATCACTCCCTCTGACAAGAGGAGATTGTGATCATAAACAAGAAGACATTGGTTGTTCAACGTAATGAAAGTAACCACAATTTTGACATAAAAAGTGCTAATAATAATTCACAAAGTCGGAAATGTCTAGAAAGTGCTTTAATTGCGAGATCATTTGTTATCACAATGGGGATATTTAAAAAGAAGGATGATCGAAATTTTTCTTTCGATCATCTTTCTTTTTAAATATAGATGAATTTGGTAAGATTGCAAAAAATTCTTTCAAAAAAAAAAAATTTGAAACTACTATAGTCTCTCGTTCATGAACAAGTGTAGTCACAACAATGTCAACAAACCCAGTCCGGATGAAGTCCTAACGGATGAAACTCGTCATAAATAATTTTTTATCTCTTTTGTTTGTCTTACAATTTTGTCAATACTGTTCTTGATCGTTATCTCATATATATATATATATATATATATATATATATATATATATATATATAAAAAACAAACACTTTCTGGTCTCTGGTCGTTGGATCTGATAAGGTAATTTAAGTTTTATCCTAAAAAATCAAATAAACAGCGAGTCTTTTTGTTATTTCTGATGTTGTTGAACAAGCATATTAAATATTTCTTCTTTTCTCTTTCTCTAAGTTTAAATCTAATATAATTGAAATCTAAGCTGTTTAAAACCATCCTACATTTAAATAGATTTGTAAAAATGAGCAGTATCAACCAATTGTTAACCAGTTGGTCGTTAATCGTCCTTCCAATGAAACATATTCGTTATATTAAAACAAAAAAAGAAGCAGCACTACAAATACACAATAGAGTGGCATTTGAAACTAAGGCGTAACGTAATGCATAAATAAATTTAAAGCTCTAAGTATATTTTAAGCAGTATGCTATTTGAATTCAAACAATACTTATACAACCCCAATCCTGATGTCAAGCAATTCATCAGAAAAGGAGAAAAGTTAATAAAAATATTGAACAAAGAACTTTCGTTGGTCTTTAATGAAACTTTTATTATATTTTTGTCAACACCTCATAAAACAATCTGCCATTTTATATAGTACTTAAAAATAATGTGATGGTAGATTATATAAATTTTACCAGAACTAGCTACCGAAAACAATATGACCACAACTTCTGACTAAAGGTGGAGGTTGTAAAAGCAGCAATGAATCCATTTAAAATTAACAATTCCTACAACCTAACTCGTATGTGCATTTCGTATCCGGACTCTTTCTAGGAACATTTTCTATTAATGGTGAATCATTCGCTAAATATTTTGGTGGTGGTCTTTTTCTTTTCTTTTGGGGGTGGGGAGAATAAAAAAGTTCCTCGTGCAAATTTGTTATTCTTAATTTCATATCTTTTTGTCTCTGGTTTCTACAATTGAGCTGGTCGTTGAGGCTAATTGTAACATACAATCAACTAATGATTAAAAAACATTTTAATTAAAAACGTTACTTTCTTTTTTGTTTATATCTTGTAGCCGTGTTGGTACGAATGCAGGCATTATTACCCATCCTCCATTACTTGGCAGGCCCGGTAATACAGATTCGTCAATTTATAAACTGGGACAAGACTATAATCATCAGCACTGTGTTTTATGCAAGACCGAAGAATATTTGGGAAGTTCAGGATATCTTGAGAGCGGCAACTCACGTTGGACTTCAAGCTCGGGCCACAGGAGTTGGACACACGAGGTCACCCTTGTATGTGGACGAGGGAAACATTATGATTGATGTAAAAGGACTTGAAAGACATGATGGGCCAAGAATTGAAATTCATCGACCCGTAAATAATTTTGTTTTGTTTTTTGTTCTTGTGATTCATCTATCACGTCGTACATCTCTATTACATTAAAAAGGGCACGATTCTCTAACTGTACTTTTTTTTAATGTAATAGGGATGTAATAACCTGATACCTGCAGCAATACTGTTGAAACTGTGCATTATTGTCTACCAACGGATAAATCTTTGTGTTCTCATGTTTAAAAAGACCTCACACTGCATTTTTTCTTCATAGGTAAATAAATAAATCATATACCCTTCCTTTTCCCTCTACCGACAGACATATATTTCTACAGTCCAATTCCATAGATAAATATATCTATGAGCTTGCTACGCAATTATTTAACTATATGTTCACATACCACTAAATATGACACAAGGTCATTTTAAGATAAGCATTTCCAAAAGCATACATAATGTACCCTAGAGATTTCAGTTGTCTCTTTCTGATTCAATGTATAAATGTACTTTTTGTTTCTATTTTCTCTAAAACTTCCTCATTACACATATGTTCAGTCGATAGTATTCTCAGTACCATTCTTTAGAATAACATTTCTGTTACCTCGTCTATTCTTCATCTATGATATTCTCCAGCATTCGCTGCCATATAGGAGGATTGATATTACATAACAGTTCAGTACTCTTCTCTTTGTTTTTAATGAATTTCTCTTGTTTCTCAATATTTCACTATTCCACCGCACCTTCGGATTTCAGTGTCGCGCTTTCCGTTCTCTTTAGTACTTGCTTGATTTTGGAATCTACATTTCGTAGTTGGGACTTTAATTTTTGTGACAACGATACATTCTGTTGTCTTAAATGTTTAATCCTTTCTTCTCGCTTTCCATTACTATTTTCTGTAGGAGTTCCTGTAGTTTCCATTCTGTGTCTGATATCAACTCTGTGTCATCTGCAGATCTTACGTTGTTAAGATTGTACCCACCAATAACGAATCCTGGTAGGACTTCTAATTCTCTCTTCACTGTAAAGTTTGAATATCTGTGGAGTGAAGACACATCCTTGTCTTATGTCCCTTTATATTGTTGTGAATTTACTGAATTCATTTTCTATCCATATGCAGGTGGTTTGCTACCAGTATAAGTTCTGGTTTATTCTAATATCATTCCCAAATAAATCAAACTTACCTAGTAGTTCGAACGGTCCTTTGTGTCGTACTTTGTCAAAAGCTTTTCATATTTTATAAAACGTAGTTATACACTATTGCTCTTTCTGATATAATTCTGAGCATAAATATTGCATTCCTTGTTCTAGTGTTTTAAACAAAACTGCACTGTTCTTGTCACCTTACTTCTCTAATTCTGCTACGCACCCTAGTCATCAGAATTCAGATGATTCGTTTCTATCATTTTAGTTTAGATCTGCGCTGTTTATCGCCAAAGATAAACAACACAGATCTAAAATAAAGATTAAACATTTGGCGTGTTTCGAACACGCATACTTTTTGTCAAGATGATCCTTGTTAACCGTATCAGCTCCTTTGCTGATTGATACAGTATAAGGCAAAAGAATACGAGTTCGAAACTTCTTATTGGTAGCCGCAGATCGAAGCTCGGAGTCGTTCGAACAAAAAACAACTAAAATTACAATAAAAAAAATGTACTAGTCAGAAATGACTAATGACCAACTGTTTCATATAAAATAAATAAACAAAAATATGATAGCATTACTAATTTTCGACAGTAATCGAGACCGAAAAGCATTGCAGAGTGTTCATACACGGGTTTGGAATAGTGATTTTCAAGGTAAAAAGACAGTCTCCTTTCAAAAAAGATTGGCGATAACAGTTTTATTATACTTTAGCTGTCAGTATGCACGAATAAAATTTACAATATTCACGGTATTATACAAAATATAATTATTGACAACTTAGCGACGAGAACTGATAGTTGAAGTTAATACCCTTGGGAAAGACATGACTCCATCTCTTCCCTCTAGCTACGGGTTAAATAGAAGGGTTGTCTAGGCTTTCTTACTTTCAGGTAGGAATCATTCTAGGAAAAGGAAAACTGAATTCAAAACAAACCTGAAGATGGATGGGCTCCATCAGGCTATCTTGCTCTAGACACACCACTGCTGCTATGGCTGCAATATGTGTTGTGTCGCTACGACCTTAATGGATTACAGGACACGTGATGGGATGCGAAGAAAGCCTCATGATCTATCTCGTTCTGTTTATGAATCTATTCCCAGTTAATTATAGTAAAAATATATAACTCAATATTAGTACATGAGAAAAATTGATTTTTTAATTTTATTATTATTTTTAAATGTTTCCACCTAAATCTCTTGCATGAATCATTTTTATTTCATATGTTTGTCTTTGATTACCAGAAACCATTCAAAGACTACTACATTTTAACTGGAATAACAGGAATAATTGAAGAAGAACTGAACGAATATATGAAGAAAAATGGCGTCACTATGTTGGCTCAGCCGTTAAATGTAAAAGAAACTCTCGGGGGAATGGCTGCAGTTGCAACACACGTAAGTTTGTTTCCTCTTTAGGAGATTCAAGAGACTATTTAAGAAGCATTTTCCATACTCAGAGAGAAAGGGGAGTGGGCTGCGAGGAGATGCACATAATTAAATCTACTTATCCTGAATGAATACGATTTACCACAAAAACTAAAAATGAATTTCTTTGAGAAATGTCAGCTATTGAGTATCTGGGGGCTTTTTCTGTTCTTTTTCAAGAATCCAAATAACCTAGGACAGTGTACTGATTTCCCCTGGGTACAATTAGTGCTGTTTTGCGGTGCTGTTAATGGAAATCTCACCACAGCGGAGATCAAATCAAAAAATCGACCATTGATGCATTTGTGAATTTACGCTGATTGCAAATGTTGGGTGAAAGAGAGGCAGATACAGTTGGAGGATAGAGACTATGTATTCTGATTAGCTGAAAATCATTTAGACTGGATGGATAGAACCAAACCTCTTTTTTTGTTTTCTCTTTGTCCACAGACAGGATGCCATAGATACACGATGTCTTGTTTCCCCTCCGGGTGTCATGTTAGTCCCCAGCGGAACACGATGTCGCATGAAAACAACACAGCATACGAATGTCCTAAGTTAGTAACCTTCTCTCAATATCCTCAATACGATCTTATGCACATCGTATGTACGAATAAAGGCATCTATATATACATAAAGATGTGGATAATTATGCGAGAGTGCTAGGAATGAGATTACAAAAAATATTATACATATAACAAAGACAATTTCCTAATTAGTTTTTCTAAGGTAATAAATTCTCTTTGTTATATGTATAATATTGTTCGTAATTTCATTTCATTTTAAATAAATATTCACATCTCTTACGAAATATCTCTACAATAAACTGGTGATCCAGCACAGAAATACATAAATCTGAAGATAATTAAAACCTTCCGGCGAACGAACAAAAGTTTTTTCCAAATTCGACATTCCTTCTTCTGACCCCCATCAACTTTATGTTAGTGATAACATTATCAAAGTCCCTCTCCGCGGATCTTTCGACACAGTGCGGATACGGAAAACGTTGAAAAAACGACACAGTGAAATCCCCACCTCGCTAAGGAGCCGCCCTGAAAAAACGGAAAAGGAAGGAGTAAAGAAAAAAATCACCACTCCGCACGCATGCTTCGCAGTACCGATCTTGAAGGGAAAATGTAGTAATGGGCTCCATGAAACCGGAATCAAAACTCTTGTTAAAGCATTAAAATTATATTTAATTAACTGTTTAAATGGCTATCAGATTCATTAATAGAATTCATCAGCATTTATCTTCTTAGGAATCGAATTTTACTGGTCTTTTCTACAGCAATTACGTAAAAGCCAATTTAATTATTTGTATCTCCTTGTTGGCGTTTCGCTCCCAACGAACGTTATCAAAACAACTGAAATGGCAATCTATGACTTAAAAACACTGTGGTCAATTTGAAAAAATTTAACAGTTAATAACATTTTAATCTGAATATCTGTAAACAAATCAATGAAATTTGTACACAGCAAATATGATGAAATAAAATGCAAATATAATAATTTGATATAAGAAAGAAAAACAATTAAAAGAAATTTATTGGGATAAAAATAAAGCTCGTATTATCCAAAGAAAATAATGACTATTAAAAATATAATTTATGATATATAGTATTTATGTGTAAAGGAAAATATAGAATTTAATCAAAATAACCAGTATCTGTTTTAATATAATTCTCTTTAAGCATTATCTAGAAAACATGATACGTTATAAAAATATATATTTATTGAAAAATACTCCAAATCTTTCAGACGACACTATATTATTTCTTTTCATGAATATATGAACCTACACGTTTAAATCTATAATTTGCTTAATTTTCAGGGTTCCAGTTGGAATGAACCAACAGTCAGCGGATATGTTGTAGGTATGCGCATTATCGACAGCCGAGGTCATCTGCGCAAATTTACTGAAGAGTCAAATCCAGAATTGATGAAAGCTCTAAAATGTAATTTAGGGATGATGGGCATAATATATGATATAAGCATAAAGGTGATATTTGTTTTTTTAATATGTGTTTTTTAACAATGAAGTAGTCATATATTTAATACGCAAAACTAGCGCTTCATTTTACAGTTAGATTAGCATTATGTCAATTCAGTATAATCGACAATTGTGTAGATGTAGTCTCCCTATATAAAAGTCAGCGACCGTTGCTTTTTAATACACAAAAGATTATGTTTAAGAGTACAGAGTAGATAGACCTTTCATATTTTGCATACACAACCTCAAATATATCCACATAAAATTATATATATATTTATATAGTGTTCATCTCAATTAAGTGGATACTAAAAATACTTGCAATGATCCTGAACAGGATAGCTGAAATATGGATGACCGAAAATGACATAATGTGGTATTACTCACAATTCCTGATAATATATTCAGATAAAAATTATAAACTCCATTAAATTGCTACTAATGTTCAATAAACTTATCGAATTTTGAAAATATTATATTTTTAAAAATAGTTTTATTTATGACACGGCATCCACGAAATATTGCTGATTTGCACATTTATAATAATTTAGCAAAGTAAGAAAGTGCATTGGCAACTATACAGTTTTTCATTTTTACTGTTTCGAAAGGGAAGTTTTAGGTGCACGACTATTTTAAAATCGCAGATGAAATCCGACATATGTTAATCACAAATTCAAATTGGATGCTTTTTACCCTAAATATAATACTTCATTGCTTACATTTTTTCCTATCACTTTTTTACTCAATGTAAATACTTTCCTATCACTTTTTTACTCACTGCAATACTCCGTTGCAATTAGATCTCTTTCTGATTCATTCTGCACGCTAGCCGGATGTAAACGCCACGAAGACAGAAAACGAAATAACAAAAGTCGTCTTCTGCGCATTAGGCTCCACGCATTACATCCGGACTATGAAGTGAGCTTCGGCGGGGGCCAATAGCGAACGTTCCCGCCGTAGAGAGAGATGCCACTAGGGACTACTAGACTCGCTTAAAAGGAGGTCTCTCAAAACAACACCAGAATTGCAGCCAGGCGTGCCGTCGGCCGTCACACAGGACACTGCTGTTGCTGCCACCGCCGTCGCCACCGTGACTATCACCACCGCCTCTCAACATAACCACACCTCTCAACGACCGTTACCATTCCCATGCTTAACTAACCACCTCGACCATACCACCTCGGCTATCCAACTTCGACACCATGTCACCTCGGCACTACCGACTTGATAACATCTCCACATCAATCTACTGAGCGACTCTGGCATCGCAAGGAAGCGACTCCGATTCTGCAAACATGCAACCCACTTGACTCACCAACGTTACGCCAATCCACCAACACGTCACGCTGTGACCATCATCGCCGCGTTTCAACATAACCGCACCTCTCAACGATCGTTACTACTCCCAGGGTTGACTAACCACCTTAACCTCATCACTTCGGCACGAAGCAGCCGGCTATCCAGCTTCGACACCACCCAAGACTACAAGACTTCATCACCGACGACGCTGTCACCTCGGCAAATACCGACGTGATAACATCTCAACATCGACACTATCAAGCTACAAGCCTTTCTCTTCGCCAACGCCGTCACCATAGCAAATCCAACTCCGCAATCAAGCGACTCCAACCCCGCGAGCAGAGACTCCGACTCCGTAAGCAGCGACTGCGACTCCGCAAGAAACCGACTCCGACTCTGCAAGCAGCGACTCCACAACCAAGCTACCACCGTATGCAGCAACTCCGACTCCGTAAACAAGCGACTTCGACTCCGTAACAAAGCGACTTCGAATCCGCAACCAAGCGAGACCGACTCCGCAACCAAGCGACTCCAACTTAGCAAGCAGCGACACCGACACCGACTCCGTAAGCAAGCGATTCCGACTCCGAACAAGCGACTCCAACTCCGCAAAACAAGCTACTCAGACTCCGCAAGCAGCAACTCCGATTCTGCAAGCATGCAACTCACTCAACACACCACCGTGACGCCAATCCACCACACGTGCATCAGACTCAACCAACGACTATATCCTGTGACCTCAGTCATCCAACCCATCCTTCAACATCTCTGCACTACATGTCAACAATAAACGTGTGGGGTTAACTCCACCTACTTTACTGAAACCGCTACTAGGAGACGCTCTCCGGATATTCTGCGATAATTTTTCTTACTTTTTCCGCTTACACATCAACATGTAAATCCCTCGAGGAAAACGCGTTTTCCACTGGGAAACGCATGAACATACCACACACAACACACGTATGTACGCACATTCACTCACTTCACATACTTTGGACCAAAAAGGTTTTCCCATTCTTATGTTAGACATATTATTGTCATTGTCACTACTATACCGTTTTCTTGTTAATACATTATCATTTGTTTCTACATGTATCGCTTCTTGTAGATTCTATGCATTTATTCACGTGGACTCGAATCTTTGTTTTCGACAAAACTAAAATACAACTCCCTCTCAACTTTAATCAATACTGTTTCTCCTTGACTGGTCAGATAAAGTGTGACATACCTCAAAAGGCGATTCATTGTTCTTTTTTTCACTCTGCGATGATGCCACTCAAACAACACTATGAATTTGCAAGTACGATATAAAAATCGACAATAATAGCAAATTTCTTAAATTTCTCAAACATTCATTCGACACTCGGTAGAAATTTTATATCAGCTTAACTTTGCCACAATGTTGATTCTATTAAATTTTGTCCGCCAACATCATTCACGTATAGCAAACAAGCGAGGTCTTTTTCAAACAAAACACTCCTGTAGTGGTATTGACGGCATAAATCAACCCACACATTTTTTTACTTTACGAATGTGTAAGCAAACAAAAAGCAAACAAGAGAAAGAACACAAGAAAATAACTTTTCATAACAGGCACAATATTTATATTTATAAATGACAACAGTTTTACAATAATTATTAATATGAGTTACTTCCCGTAAAGGGAAGTAACTCATATTAATAAATATTTTTTTACCTGAGCTCACAAAAAGCTGAATTATCTTGTCGTTCAAAATGTTCACTGAAAGAGAGTTTAAAGAATCTTGTAAAGCTGAAAATATGTTGATAAACTTTTAGCTTTAAAGAAGTTGGAGGAGTTAATGTTCCGTAATGTCTATTTTGTTTTCGTTGCTCGTAGTTGAAAGTATTGTTCGTAATTGTTTACGATTTAAACTTAAGTTTAGTAAGATTCAATAACGTAATTGAATAGTTTTTAGTAAGTTGCAGAAGTTGGTGAGTGAGTTGTTTCATTGATATGTTAGCTTGAATTACAGCTAAGTTATGTCGTGTTAAAGAACTTGAGATTCTAACTTTGTACTTCGCTGCAGTAATGATACAAGCGTCGTGAACTCGTTTAGCTAGTCGTCGTAAATTCTCACTGACTGGGTTCGCTCGTACCTTCAATTTATATGTTTTTTTAATCACGTGATAGGATCCTGAGAGCATTGTTTTTTCATCAGGTCAAAAACTAGGTTGATGTTATTCGGACGTAGTGATGAGCAGGTAAATTGTTTTTTTAATATTTGTTAACCACTCAGAAAGCGCCTTAAAAAATTCAGTCTGGAGCCTGATGTTTTGTGTTGCTTATTGAGAACAATGTACGTGAAGATACACAAGATAATTTTAATATTTATTGTCCAATGAGAAGTTCAGGTTTTCAGAAACATGTATGAAGCTGTGATCCGCTTTTAGCACGAAAATCGACATTGATGAATAAGTGGTAGCGTATAGCTAAACTTCCAACGAACAATAAGACTGACGACAAAACCAATACAACGTGGAATATTGAAAACAGAAAATATTTCTTGTTAATACATTATCATTTGTTTGTACATATATCGATTCATGTAGTTTCTTTGCATTTATTCACGTGGACTCACATTTTTGTTGTAGGAATCCCCAACAGAAACACACGACGTTACTAACCGCCCGCAACAAACGTTGTTCAAATCTAATCGTCATTATTCCTCTCTCTCACTACCAAACACTTAATATAATAATGTTCTTCATTCTTTACTTCATGTATATTTTGTTTAGGTGTATCCAGCTAAGAAGGCTAAAGTGGTTAACTCATTCATCAAATTATCTGAATTGTTTTTAAATAAAACTGCCCTGAAAGTACTTGCCGAGAGTCACTTCGAGACTGAACTCTCGTGGTATCCTTTCAATTCTGTGACAGACGCTGAAGCGAATGAATATATTAAAACGTCAAAAGTGCCGTCGACTTGGAATATCAACAACGATCTTATTTGGATACGGTAAGTAGTCCGTCGAACTTGAAGGAAACGTAGTTGATCATCTATATCAGACCGCTTTTTACACACACACACATATATATATATATATATATATATATATATATATATATATATATATATACCCATATATATATATATATATATATTACCCATATATATATATACGTGTGTGTGTAATAATAATATAATTTATTCAATCAGATATGTCTAAAAAATAATTTGCTGCCTTAATACACACACATACACACTATATATATATCTATATATATATATATATATATCCGGCTAATCGTTTTACCCATTTGCTAGGGTGATTAGTCAATCTCTGCTGGTGAGGCACATCTGTATTTGTGCAACATCCACGGTTTATAATGCAACTACGCTGAGCGGACCTTAGTTCCTGTGGGAGAGGGAATAATCTGACGTGTTTAGCATTTTGAACAACGCCAGTATAACTCAAACCCTCGGTCACGATGTAACTTCGTGTTAGCACAACCATAGACGGTTTCCATATTTACTAACTGGAATTGCTTTAAGGTCAGGCCCCTCTATACAGTCATTCCTTTTATATAGTATGCTATCATTTTATATATTAAATAATGACATTGTTTTTCTTGATAATTTCCAATTCTTTGTTTTTCTGTCTTTTTAGTACTGTCGATATTATACCCAACGACAACAAAGTCACCTTAAAAGGTATCACTTTCTTACCGACCAAAGGATCACTATCCGGAAGCAATGTGACAGGACTTTTACGTGGTAGGGTCAGTACTCAAATTAACAGTGTTTTTTTATACTACCAAGAGAATTTAAAAAAAAAATTAATATTTTAATTTCATTTTCTATGTATACAGCTATGTGTCTTTGTACATTGCTAGAAGTTATTCATAAAGAAACTTCTCGAACCTCAAACTTTCAGGTAAGGAATGTTCACGAATTCAAAGTATATAGAGAACCACTTTCAACCATTAAAATCATCAGTATCACATAAATTAATTTTTCATAGATATTTGAAAACGTGACTGTTCTATGATTTTAAAATGGATATCAATCCATAGCCTGGAGTTCAGAGAAGGAACTATCAGCTTATGGTTTGTTCTTTAAATTTCAACGTAGCGTGTTTGAGATACTGGATAGGCCTCAAAGTGGAAACCCACTTAAAATGGTCATAGGCAAATTGCATCAAGTATTTGAAGCCAGGCCGTAGATGGCAAGCTGGAAGATAACACAAGAGTTTAACTAAATTCATTGCCTAAATCGATGACATTTGACTGCATACACCAAAGTCTCTGAAATGGCGTAACTCATCGTACCGTAAGGGGTAGTAATCTTGACTTGCATGTCGTTAATAATGAGTAGTGAGTGTTATCCTAACAAGTCGTTTCACGCTTATCACCTTGTACCAAAACTAGGCTAAACTCATTCCTGGATGGATAACAACCAAAATCGACATTTGACTTTTCTGAAACGATGGCTGGGAACCGGCATAGGTTATAAAAAATGGTGCCTAAAATAAAGCTGTATTGTAAACGCACCAAAACTGTAGTTGCATCGAAAAAAGATCAAGTTTTTTCGTTGGAGAGATATGCACAGCGTTTGATTATTGGAAACCATTCTTTTTCGCAGTAAAAATATCACTGTCAAGGTTGAAAAGTGAATTTGATGCAATCACGGAAAAACACAGAATTGTACAGAATCTATTCTTACCCGACAATGCAAGGCCACATATTGCACGGATGATCCCTGAAAAACTTGCAGTTAGATTTTGGAATTTCTACTTCACTCCCATTTTACTAAACTGCCATGGTGCTTTCTGATTACCATTTTTCCACTTAAATGCAGAATTTCCTGGATCATTAAGGGTTCCGAAATTGCAGCGATACCAAAATAATACTGTAAACGATGTACAGTTCAAAATAGACATTGATTCTATTGCAAAGGAATCTTTGATTTAACTAAAAAATGGCAGAAAATGATAAACAACAATAAAGATTGTATTTAATAATTGTCTTATTTTTAATTTTGGAGAAAACAAAATGAAATCTTGCTGAATACGCAAAATGTTCTGAAATGTTCATAATAACCTGAGAGAAGCAAATATGGGTGCCTCATCGTGGTATAATAGTCAACAAGATGGTCTTGTTGATCCTTAGTAGTAAGTTCAATCCTGAATGGTTGCTGTATTATTGGCCTTTTACCAAACTAAGCTAAGCTTTAAAATGCTTTTCTGCCTAATAAAACAAGCTTGTTTATTTTATCTCACAAATATTTTGATATATAGAGATCTACATTGAAATTCAACCACAATAGACAAATCGAATGGATATAACAATTTAATCTAATTGGTGTCATTTTAAGATAACAAATTTAAATCGTTGTTCTTCTCAATCTTCATTTTTGTTAACTGTGTTCGTATTTTTGCTTTCATTTTTCGGGCTCTAAAAAAAACAAAAAATAAAACTGAAATTAAGGAACGAAAGGCATAATTATGAAGGATTTTAAGGATGTCAAACCTTTTAAAGAATGTCACTGTTCCGATGATCTACTCCATTCAAGTTGCTAAATATGCATATAAAAGTTTGTATTTTTCTATTTTTACAACGTTATTTTAATATTATACGAAAAAAACTACTAGATTGCTTATAAATCTTTTATCATGTTTTAATTTATTCAGCCGTGACGTTCGAAATAGTTCTTCAATAAAATTTAAGTAAGAATATTCTAAAACTGAATAAATGTTTGTCTTTTATATATATATATATATATATATATATATATATATATATATATATATATATATATATATATATATATATAAACGAAAAAAAAAGAATTTTCAAATATTCGTATAAAAGATTCGGTGGTTTTGTTACGTAAATTTCAGTCTTTTATTTATTGATTTACATATTCGTATTTACAAAATTTGCCATTGTTATAAAAATATTTTAGTTGAACAAGCTTTTGTTTTCTCTTCAAGGCGGCTCTGAAGTTACCAAAAAACCTCGACACTGTCAGCTACCATTATTTGTTGGACGCTTTCCCTGTGTTGGATATACCAAAACATGGAACGGAAACTAGCGCTGCATTCATTATGAATATTGATAAGGATTTTGATCGAGCAGCAAGAGCTATTAAGGTAGGCTAGACAAGAGGTTGACACCTATGCCTGTTGTATATTAGGTAGGATTTAGTAAACGGTCAAAGAAAATTAGGCCCGAATAAGAAACGAATGAACGACTTGGTGGTCTAATCAACTGCTTTATTTTTCGATATCAAAAGCTAGCAGCGTATTTTCAGGGGGTTAGTGGCAGCTATATCTACATAGGTTAGATTTGTATGTTGATATATAACACCTGTAGGTCAGACAGTTGAGATACTTTGTAACACTATGAGCTTATTCATTGAATACTAGTTTCTTGATTCCGTTTTCAATCACTGAAAAACGTAGCAGTCTTGGTTATATGTATGAGATACTGCTTGACGATTACATTGCACAATTTTATATAGTCGAGATGATTGCCACTCCAAAATCCAATAGGAAAGGAAGCCTGGATAGCCCAATTAGGTTTTCAATAGCGACTGAATTGTCCGGAGCTGTCAGTTGACTTGTAGTTCTCGGCCATTTTTTTTAACATTTTAAATAACTGAAAAAGTCAAGTTCACTTCAAAGCATTTTGAAGTTCCGTTTGAAAACCTTTTTTTCAGGGCCGTACGTTAAAAACAAATAGAGAAAAAACAATTTTTAGTTATTTCATTTGACTGAAAAATTTATTTTGATTTAAAATTGACATCTGGTAACTTCCTATGATTTTGAAGGTTAGCACCACCTACCCTCACGTTTTTACTTCTTAATACAATTGAATTAATTGATTATACTTATCATAAAGGCCATTAAACAATTCTATCTCCAATGAGCTCTGGTGACTTCGGAGGTCGAATTTGACGTAATCTTCCCTACCACTAGTCTGGTCAAAAACCATGTTTATATTTCAAAGTAAAATCAACACCTCACACCATTTTGTTATTACTTCATTGAGGCCGAAATTGAATGCAATGCTATTTACTGGTGACCTACAAATTTTTTGTCACCGAACACTCGTTGCCAATTTTGTAATGTTAGCGAATACTCGTTGTCACTTTTGTAATGCTCGTTGTAGTAGAGACTTTGTAATCGCAGAGACAACTATAGTAACGCCGTTGAACAATACTGGTGTCAGACACCTTAGAATAGCACTCGAACTAATAGTACTTGTTCGATAATACTCGATCGAAAATTGACCACCGAATAGTAATCCGTATAATGATCAGTATAGAGTAATAGTATAGTGAATAGTATAGAGAATAGCGATTCGTATAGTAATAGAGGACAGAGTAGAAATAGTGATACGTATAGTAATAGAGGATAGAACAGAAATGGTGATCGTTTAGACGTCACGCTAATTCCCATATATGCATTTCCTTTGCCATTACGTGATCTGCTTATTCAAAATGGGACCGCCTGTGTTTGCTCTCTGGTCATCTGTGTTCAAACCCAAGTGTAGGAAGCTACACTTTATTCCTATATAACAAAAGTTAAATTCACATAACTTTTGTCATATATTTGTGAGTCTTCAAGTTATTTCAGTAAACTCGATATTTTAATACATCTTGGGAGAATTTATTTCATTTGTCTAGAAATGAAATGCTATTGTTTTTATTGGCATTTGATGGTCGTAAATTTTCATAATATTGAATTTTTGTGACTATCATTGCAACTATGCTGAGCAAAACTTACAGTTTCTGGGAGAGGTGCATAATCTGGCATTATATATATATATATATATATATATATATATATATATATATATATATATACCGACCATTATATATAATGTGGACAAAAGAATCAACACTATCTCCAATATTGAGCACTCTTCTTCTATGAATATTTCAAATTCTAAACAATCTCCCCTAACTCTCTCTCTCTCTCAATATATATATATATATATATATATATATATATATATATATATATATATATATATGTGTGTGTGTGTGTGTGTGTGTGTGTGTGTGCTCAAACTCGATTTTTGTCTCGATCGCTTTTCAGTTCATGGTGGATGCAACTGACAAACACATTAAGAAATTTGGCACCACCCCTCTCAATGCTTTTCTACCGCGGTTTGTCAAGAATGATAACTGTTACCTGTGCCCAGCGAACAACTACATCAAACAACACAACGACAATGGACACTCGATGGTCATTGATTTTCTTGCACCTCCAACGCAAAATGGATTCTATGAGACTGCAGAAAAGGTAAGAACAAACACGTTCAATGTGTAGATATTGTGTATTATCAGTATTTATTATGTATGGGACATGAATATAGACTGTAAACATTGCAAACGCTCGTATTGTTTTAACAAAATTTTGCTTCTCCTGTAAGCGTTTTCTAAAAGGAAGGTATATTCACCACTTTTTTTTGTGTGTGTGTGTGTGTGCGTGTGCGTGCGTGCGTGTGCTGTTTACGTTTATGCAAAACCTCCAGTCCCTCGGTAATGTTCCCAACTAGTTTTAACGACAGTAGATTAACAGTATACGAAGGTCGGTTGAAAAGTTCATAGGCTGACCAAGATACTCTCATGGAATGTGAGCAAATAAGGTGTATTTCTCAACAGAATCCCGCTTGCGGTCAACACATTTCTTCCAACAGTGTTGCTTGGATCCCATTGTTGAAAAAAGTAACCAACAGCAGATATAACGTCATCATCACTGAAATACTGGTTTTCAGCTAAGTGCTTTTTAATGTTAGGGAAGAGATGATATTCAGATGGGGCCAAATCAGGAGAATAGGGAGGGTGATCAACCAGTTCAAAGCCAAAGTCACGCACAACAGCCATTGAAACTAAGTATTTGTGTGCAGACGTATTGTCCTAATGAAACAATTTCGTCAGTTGTCCTGGAAGTTTGGTCTTGATAGCCTTTCGTAACTGCCTCAGCAAGTTGGCATAGATTGATGGTGTGTCCCTTTTGAAGATAGTCAATAAACACAATGGACTGAGACCACCAGCTGGGTTAAGGGGGGATAGTAAAAAATCAAACGTTACTTAGAGATACAAGGGCCAGGAAGTTGTTGAGGGTAATTACCTCTCACGTCCTGAAGGATTACAACATATAAAAGAAGAAAGTTAATGCCAAAGAAATAATATCGTTAATTTTCCTTAGTTTTCTTTATTAACATAATTTAGTTAACTCATCAATTTACCAAACTGGGAAACGTTTTAGATAGTTTTTTTTTTTTTTTTTTAACTAGTATACTGTTATAAATTTAAGTCGTCAGGAACATTAAAAAAAAACACACAGAACTAAATGGTACAATTAGTATTTTAAAATGCAAAATACTAAATCTTGTTTGTAACTTTAACATTATAATTTTGTTTTTTTCAGTTTGTCCATTATTTCAAGAATGGTAAGGACAGGGTTCGCCCCCACTGGGCAAAACGGCATGATAACATAAAAGGCATTGTGGATATAATCCATAGCAGCTACGGAAACAATCTTGAACTTTACATGAAACAGAAACAATTATCCGGATTGGATCCAACGGGTGTATTCATGAACAGCTATCTTAATCAAATCTTTTGCACTCGAGGCTTAGAAAAATACTGTGGATATGAAGTATAGAGTTAAAATGATATAAGCAAATTGTTGATTTATCTTCTTAGTTTTAATTTCTTCAAATGATCGACAAATTATATGAAATGAAACACCATTATTTGTATTTTATATCCTTTTTACTTCTGTGAATGTTTTATTGTTATATTTATTTATTTGCTTATTAAATATAACAAAAATGATTCAACCTATTTTCTTCGCTCAATTGTATGCAAGCTCGAACATTATGCAGAGCACATTGCAAATCAAATTTCAGTTAATAACATGTTAGACTACAGGCTTATTGATCCAACTTCGTAAATGTGTACCTAGAAGAGTAAGAGAAACAACCTTTAATTGAATCTATATTTGGAGCCAGATGGATTTCAGAATGATGATTTCTATATCCCGTTTATACTGGAATCAAACAGACCGCTTTCCTAGAGACAAAGATTCAGTAAAATATATATCAAACGCTTTAATATTTCTTCAGTGTATATCATGAATATCCATCTATAATATATAAGTGTAATAAATAAAGTCTATAAATAATTTGTCAGTTTCTTTGCATTTGTGTAAAATGTTAAATGAAGTGGGTAAAGAACATAAAATTAAAAGCATATTTCTTATTTCTAAGTAAAACATTCAAATCGCAAAATCCACACACGTAGAAACTAACTGTAAAAATAAATAAAAGTAAACCATTCAGTTTTGTTCAAGCAACAAAGAAAAACTATATTTAATCATTATTATTAACGAGGATGATGCAGTTCAGATAGAGTTGAGAAAGTTGTATGCGCAGAATTGCCTCTGGAAAATTTAGACTTTATAAAATCATTACAAATTACATGATTCATAATACATATGCGTGAAAAATAATCAATGTACAAAAGGCTTCCCTAAAGAATTACCTGGTCCTGAAATGTTTTTCTCTGGAAAATGAACTACCGACATGGAGTACAGTTAGAAATACCTTCTTGTTAAAGATTGTCTCCGATTGAAGGTGTTCCCAAGTATCTAAATGTGACCCCAAGTTTCCTTGGTTGCCTCATTCAAACTAAAACAAAAAACCTCTTTGATGCTCCCCATCTACTCCAAGCATATCTGTGGTATTGAATGTGGCCCAACTTAATTCACTGACAAAAATTGTACGTATTAACATTTTCTGTTAAGATTAAAAGCAATGAGAGCCATGTCTAGTGTAGTATCAGTGCATTTATTATTACTATTATTATTATTATTAATAATAATAATAATAATAAAATAATAATAATAATGTATTACCATTTTCCTGTTTAATTTTCATCTATATAGTTGTAAGAAAAAAAGATAGTGTAAGATGGTTTTATTCCATTTGTTTAATCACGGTTGTTTGTACTAAGCATATGTTTAGTATCATCGCAGCCATAAAATTTTCTAAACATACTCAAGCATTTAAAAAATATGTACTTTTTGTTTAAACATTTAATTTGCTTAAAGAAACTACGAAACGAGAATAAGTGTGAAGGTTGTTGCTAAAAATATCAGTAAAATCTTGTTAATGATTTGTGCAATAAATTTTATTCACATAATTCTAAAAGCCTTATTTTTCTTCAAAATGTCTCCCAAATCGAATTTTTCCATTGCTTGCGTTTTACAAATAACTCACTAGATGCCGCACCTGTGTGATAGGTAAAGTTAATTAAATGTCCCAAGAGCCGGGGAACAATTATTAGTTAAAAAGTCTCACAGACTGTTTTGAATTCAATCCTCATTGGGTGTTAGATATTGTTACCAGACAAAGCTATGCTTGGTAAACACTTGTTTTGGGGCGCTAACATAGTTCAATGGTTAACTAGTGTGGTGAGTTCGATCCTCATTGGATATCCCATTACCGTAATCTGATGCTGTACTAAACAAATAAATTAGTAAATAATGCCAGTAAATAATATCCACGGCATTTACGGGAAACGAAAATTATTTTTTATATGCGGAGACTCGTTTAGATTAACTACGAGTTTCCTAACAGAATCAAGTAGAACATTTCAGCATATAACAACTAAAGAAAAAGTGAATTCACTACATAAATGGATTATAACAGTATATAAGAAAGATATTTTTTCGTATGGTTAAAATAATTATGATACAAAACCAGCAAAGTGAGTTGTTGTAACTTAAAGTTCATTAAAATAGAATTGGTTTTATGAAATAAGTGTTGGTGTTTAAATAAATGATCTGTATATATACGCTTGAATAGAAGAGTGAGTTTACATCCGTAGAAAGAAAAGAGTCTTTGAGTGTAAACGTGTCGGCATAATTGAGCATACGATTTGCGATGCAATAGCAAATGGATTCTTCTGAAGCGAATGCGTCTACTGCTTATGGAGTTGCCGACTTCGCTTTTCAGAGGCTTAGAACTCTTGCAAAGTAAAATAGAGCGGTCTGATTAGTTTATTATTCTTTTTCTATGTTATGTAGTATAGTTTTCTACCACGTCTGCAACGAACGATTCGGTGAAAGTGATTTTAAAATTTATGACATTGAGAGCGTTATTTCGTGTAGGGCTCACAAATACTAGTCTCCCAGATTGATATATTATATCGATATGTTTGATAATAGATATATATCTTTTTAAAGTGGGCAGGCCATGTGACACGCTAACCCGATTTGGTAATAATTTGTGTGTGTGTGTGTGTGTGTGTGTGTGTGTGTGTGTTTAGGACCTGGTTTGTTTATCTTGTTATCAACTGATTGTGTAGTATGGAGTCCTGTTGACTTTTTCTATTCTCGAGCAAGAGAAAGACAAGTGTTTAAACTCTGACTGATACTACTTATCAGTGGAATGATTAATTGGAATTGTTTTTTCTAGTTTCTGGAATCTTTCTCGAAACATGTAAACGATGCACTTCAATTGACTGATTGAACAAGCTCTAAACTTCAAAGATATTTTTGTCTTCCCTAATAGTTCACAAAAGAAGAATTGCATACAAAACTTAATTATCACGCAATAGTTATTAGATTTAAACAGTTTTGTTCTAAATAGTTCATAATTGATTTTTGCCATCATTGGTAAATCCAGAAAGAGGGGTTTATATACACAAAGTAACTCTGAGGACAGGAATCGATGTTTACTGTTTGAGAAATAGCTAATAGAGTTAATCAGACGATGTACGAGCAGTGTAATGAATATTGGCAAAAAATGAAATCGATGAGCCGACTTCAAATTTCAGTGTAGTCTGTTGCGTTTACTTTCGTTCAAATACCATTGGGAAAAGGTATGAACTCGTCGCCTCTTCTCTTAAATACGGGTTTAAAAGATGCGTAGATTGGTTTTTCTAGTCTTAGATAATAACTAGACTAAGAGAAGGAAAAACTTTGAATTCCAGGCCATAAAATAGGCAACCACTCTACTGTCAAGAGTCTATGGCAATTCAGATAAAAAAGAATCTATGGAGAGTAGGGATCGCCTGAAATGACACTTAAAAAAGAAAGATTAGTCAGAATCATTGGAACTGCGTTATTGATTATATTTATGGTTTATATTTGAATTTGGATAATATCAACCTTGCCAAATAGAATATAAAATAAAAGGAATATCGTTTAAGTGTGGCTTAACAGTGGCAGTTATTATGAAGGCAACCACCGTTCACCAACTCTAGAAAAATTAAAATTGAATGAAACCAGGAGATTTTAAGAAGCTAAGCTTAAGCTAGAGTTCCATCGACCAATTTTGTTATGTAAAACCGGAAGGGGAAGTCACTAAATCACTTCTTCCTTCCCCCTGTTACTATTCGCATATGCAAATCGATTTTGTAACCTAAACGAAACGTGTTCTTATAAATACTGAGACCTACTGAGTTGTTTTCAATTTCTTCATGATTGGTCCTGTTTATGTGATCAGATAATTGATGTACGATTGAGTTATGAAGTGATGACAGCTAATATGAATGACCAAAATTGACATAAATTCACGAAATCTAAGTGAACGCATTTTTTTTTTTGGTTTTTAACTACCTAGTAATTTTACAAATGAACATATTTTTCGCAATTATCTAATATTTTATTGACTTTCATTTACCTTTCGAAGATGCAAAAATAAAAAAAATTAAAATACTATTAAATTTTCTTAAATTAATTCTATAATGTAATAACAGATAGATGTAACTTAATAATTTATGAAATATTATGGTAATTTAACTATTATTAATTTATATTTTTTAATATATTTTTAATTATTATTATCGTGACAATTATTTTATTATTAATTACATAATTTGTAAAATTTTTATTAACCAAATAAACAATATTGAAAAGAAATTGCTACTATGTGTAACAGGGAAAAGACTTTCGGGAACATTTTGTGGCCCTGAAAAGGGGTCGTTTATTTTTTCATCTGCTGCCTCTTCAATCATCATTGCTGGGCTGATCGAAATACAAGTCCTGCATGAGATAGCGAGCGCTAATTTCACATTTGTTCAGTTGACAACAGTCAGCTTCATCATTGAGATATGAAATCGTATAAAAAGTATTTGCATAACTAATGATGTAGCCGATGTATTCACGGTTGACACCATCAACTGTTCAAATGTGTTTGATTATACGTCTAACTATCTGCCCAGTGAATATTTCATGCAGAATTTGTGCTAACTGTGGCATCCAGTAAAGTCAACATTAGATCACGTGACCTTTTCATAATAATGTCAAGTTCAGCCTACCATAGATGAAAAGAAGGAACGTATTAAGTAAAAAAAGTAATTTTTAAAAATACGTTTATTAATCTTTTCAACTTTTAATCTTTTCCATTTTTAATTCGTAAATTTCGTTTCTACTTAATATCACATCCAGGAAATAGCCCAATACATAATTTTACAAATTTTTAAACTATTATAAATTATTATAATTAAAATCTTTAAAAATGAAAAAAATTATTGTAAAATTCATTATTCATCGAAAAATTGTATTTCTTTAGACAATAAATCCTTAATATAACTTATTTACAAAAAAGCAACTAAAAGCTTTTTTCTAATTAAATAATAGAATGCCATAGTTTT